CAGCAGGCTGCTCTTCCCTGCGCCCGTGTTCCCCACCACGGCGATGGACGTCCTCGGCATCTTGGTGTCTCTCTGCAGCTTGTCGATCTGTTCTCTTTTTGGGGGAGAAAAACAAGAAACATGCAGTCGTGATGCGGCAGCATCTGGCTGCCGCCCTGCTAATGATGATTTTCTTGAATGGGAGTTTCGGTGCATGTTTTAATCGAGATTGGTACATGCAAACCTTGTATAACCCCCCAAAAGTCACCAAGAAACACAAGCAGGACATCTGTGAGACCGAGAGATGTCCTCTTAACAGAGCCCTTAAAGGCATCGCCACCATCCTCCTGAACACGTCATTTCATAGAATCCCAGAATGGATGAGGGTGGAAGGGACCTCTAGGGATCACCCAGCCCAGCCCCCTGCTCCAGCAGGGACACCCAGAGCACGGGACACAGGGTGGCATCCAGGCAGGTTAGAAGATCTCCAGAGAAGGAGACTCCACAGCCTCTCTGGGCAGCCTGTGCCAGGGCTCTGGCACTGCCAGGAAATTCTTCCTCAAGTTCCTGCAGATTTAACACCCAGCAGAGGAGGAGCCCGAGGCAGCATCTGCTCTGCAGAACGGGGCTTCGCCCGCAGACCTGAGTGCTCTCCTGGGCACAACCGCTTGGCTGCGTCGGCTGTGCATCACCCACGGGAGGCAGGAACAGATCCACCCACGACCAGGAGCCGGGATCGCAGCCCGTCGGCCCCGATCACCGACGACGCCACCAAAGCCCCGCGCGCGGGGCGCGCTCACGCTCACCTCCACTCCTCCACGCGCTCCCCGTCGATGCCCTCCACGGCACGCAGCACCCGCGAGAGGTCTGCGAGCACGGCCTGGCACCGCTGCCGCTGCAGCGCCACGTCGTCCTCCGACACAGCCCAGTCCTGCTGGCTCCCGCTCGCCGCTCCGCCGCCAATCCTGGCTTTCCCATCAGAGCTCCCCGCTCCGCAGAGGCTTCCTGAGCTCCTGGGAGTGGATGGAAGAAGCCCCTGGGCAGCCTGTGCCCAGTGTGCCGGGTCCTGCTCTGCCCGCGGCTGGATCGGGGAGGCTAATGGGCTGGTTGGAGCCTCTGCAGCACCAGGAGTGCACGGAGCCAGGGCTAAGGAAGGCCGAGTCACGGGCTGCTCCTTGGAGCCCGTGCTGGGAGCACCGGGCGCACGCAGGAGTGCTGGGGCTGGTAAAGGACACGGCGCATCCTCCTCTTCCAGAGGCGGAGTAGGAAGGTGGGCAGCCCCCGGGAAGCCCTGCTCCCGCGAGGCGGGAGAGGCGCTTGCAGGGCTTTCTGGATTCCCGAAATCTGGAATGCTCTGCGAACTGGAGGAGCCTCCTGCTTCCCAGGGAGGGGGAGCGCCTCTTCCACTCCCGTCACTGAGTTCTTGGGCTGGGGGCCTCCTTTGGCAACACATTTGGGAAGCGGCGCTTGCTGTGACATCGGGCGCTCCCGGTCCCTCTGCCCGCGAGACGCAGCCCCAGGCCAGGGGGGTGCCAGGTCTCCAATGTGTCTGTGTGAGAGGCAGAGGAGAGGAAGGAGCGATAGAGTCTTCCTCGCTGGCCATCCCGTTACACCCAGGAGCTCCCACGCAGTGGTGCGGGATTGAGGGATTCGCTTCCTGCCTGGACCTTCCATCCTCTCCTTCTGCCTCTGGCTGCAGCTCCTGCTTTGTCAGACCCGGTCCATTTTCTCCGGCGGCGACACCGCGGTAGGAAGCCGTGTTTGCATCTCCGTCCGCCCAGCGCTCTGCCTCGGTTTCTGGGCAGCAAGCAGCAGAATCCAGCACGGCTGGGGCCGCGGGGGCCTCGCTGCCACCCGGAGCGCCAGCACTGCCCTCAGGAGCAGCCCGGCTGCAGTCCCCCTCCGTGGAGCTGTTGGAGAGGTCGGAGAGCAGGAAACCGGGGCTCGCAGCGCTCG